TTTATTGGACCTTCGTACAGGTGTATTTATAAGACTTGACAGACGACACTCGACAGTGTTACCAACGTATGATTAATACACAACACCTCCCCTTTTAAAGGAAGAGAATAAAATAATAAAATACAAAATTTCAGCATGTACAAATAAGTAACAAATAGTTATAACAACTTAAGGGTTTTATAAACTTGAACAATTTTATCGCACTTTTACTTTTACCCGATGTCTTCTCCCTTCCCTTTTAAAAGAGTTTTTTCTTACGATTAGATGTCAATGAAATATCACAGTTTGATTTGGGACTTTGACTTCATTAACTGAACATCAATGTTTGTTTGAACCTTGTAAGGCAACGTTAAAGTCAAAAATTATCACTGATAGCAAAATGAAACATGACAGGATGACTTTTAAAAATTAAGTAGTACAGCACAAAGCTAACGAATGTTAAACAAGTACTCAAGGAAGGCACTGTGAGACCTACAAACGTGTCAACTAACTTCCGCACAATTTGAGTAGACTAGTACAATGAAGTTTACAATTGAATCTGGGTAAACATGAACAATAATGAAACTTGAGCCTTCATAAAACTTCTACATTAATGTTGACATCTAGCATAAACACTTCAGAAATGAACTGATGTTGCATCACTCGTTGGGTAGCTATTAAAATTTAATTAAAATTTTAGCACCAAATATGTGAACAGTGTTAACTATGCAATTGAAACAAACTCAAAAAGTTTTGGAAAATCAAAAACAGTAGAGTAATAGAGGCATTTGAAATACCGCTGTCAATGGTAGAAATTTACTTTACGAGAACTTAGGCAGTATGGGGAAACGTACAGAAGTAGTAAGCAAACTGCAAACTTTGTTATGACACCTTGACAGGTAACTCTGGGGCTTGGGGCTACAAACACTTATCTTTTATGCGTGGCAGACTCCCTCTTTTGACGATCCACAGCCAGTTCCATAACTGTGCCATGGTTGTAGCCTTCATCGGACTTGAATTTCTTCTACCACCATGATTTTCTCTTCTTCGAGGTAGTGGAAGATCTTGATTTGGAGACAAAGTTCTTGGGTTCCGGTTCATGGTCTTGATTTGGAGAGACAGTTCTTGGGTTCTCCGATTCATTGTCTTGATTTGGAGAGACAGTTCTTGGGTTCTCCGAGGGGTTATCTTCACTATCTCGACGAGAAAACTATCCCTTGTTTCAGTCAGGACGAAAGAAACGTAGGAAGAAAATGTTGCATTCTAACCTCTTGAACACGTGGCAATGACAAACACGACAACTTCACGAACCTCATACTCTTCATCGTCACCAAGCCCGATCTCCCGACTCGGAGGGCGAGGTGGGCCTAGGATGGAGCGGTTTTTCGCTGCCGGCTCTCTCCATCCAGAAC